GGGACAGCCCAAGATGACCTCCAAGATGGCTCCAGACATCCCAAGACACCTCAAGACGGCCCCCACGATGCTCCAAGAGGCCCCAATACCGCTCCAAGTGGCCAAAGAGCTTCCCCAGGAGGCCCTGAATAATCAAAAACCTTTCCAAAACCCTAGGAAGTTCAATGTGTCTGGCTGTCTCGCCTTTTCGCTTCCGATGGCCATCCGACGCCTCAAGATGGGTCCAAGATGGCCCCAGAGGGTTCCAAGAGAGGCCCAAGAGAGCCCCAACACGGCCCCAAGAGCGCCTCAAGAGCGCCCAGGAAACCCCAGGAGGCCTCGACAGGCGCCCAAGAGGCCTCCAAGAGGCTCCCAACAGACCCCCAAGAGGCCCCGAGAAGCTCTCCGAGGCACCCAAGACGCTCTAACAGGCGTCTGGAACCGCCAAGAGGTGCCCAAGACGCTCCAAGAGGCCTCCACTGGGGGGCCCTTCATCTGTGTGCTGCCCACTTCCCTGATCGAGACAATTCCTCTGGGCATCGTTTCTTGATGGGCTGGTGGGGATGCTTTTTGGTCTGGGGGCTCGGGAAGCAAGTCGAAAGCCGTCCGAACACTAGCCGGGCCGCGACTAGGCAGCAAGAAAAGAGAGGGGCAAGCAAAGCGAGCGCGCGGGCAGCCACTCAGAAGGAGCACCAGGAGCGGCACTCCCAACCCGGTGGCGTGGAAATCCCGGTGGCGACCATCAAGTAAGCGCAGCCAAAACGGCGCGGCGGCGCGACCATTAACACGCTGGTGGGGAATACGTGAAGCGTCTAGAACTGTGAGAAGATATCAGGCGGAAGCCGTTGTTGTAACAGCTCGGGGTCGACAGGCGCAATTTAACGATCCAAGACTTGCCCTTGTAAAAAATGGCGCAGGCCTCGCAAGGGGCACTTCAATTGAAAAAGCACCATGGGAACCGGAGGCGGGGTAACAAACATGTTATTTGAACATGCGATTTCAAGAACAACAGTTGCAGCAATAATAATAAGCCTCTTAGCTCCAATCTGCACGCACGTAGATTAAAATGTACATCCCAAACCCTGGATACTCACCCTCTTCGACTTCGAACAACCGTATCCCCTTTGGGGGGTGGTATATCTTCCTTCCCTGCCACGCGAAGTTGGCGCAGCCCCGAAAACAGGAAGTAGGAGAAGGGAACAAGGGACAGAGCGAGGAGGAAGGGAATGGCGCAAGAGAGGGAGGAGGGAAGGGGCATGGGGGAGGGAGGAGGAGGGAGGACGAGGGAGGCGAACCGAAAGGGGGAAAGAGAGAGAGAGAGAGAGGAGCAGGAAAACAAGAACGGTAACAGGCGGGCGGATCTGGTGGGCGGGGCGGACGGACCCTAACGGGCGGGTCGGGTGTACGGATGCGGCGGCGAGTGGCGACTGTGGGCCCCAGCGGGCGGGTCGGGCGGGCGGGCCCCGACGGGCGGGTTGGGCGGGCGGGCCAATAAATTCCTGAGCATATGAATCGGGAGGACATCTTAATCGAGATCGGAATTCCTTGGTAAACTGCAAGACCGTCCCGAGCGAGTGCCATTCTTGGGTAAACTACAGTCGTACCTAGGCCTGAAGAACATTCTTCAAGAACAGGAGACCCTTCGTCGGCTAAAAGAAACAGAACATCCAAGGGTGCCCTCCCCAAGATGCACAAAAACGTCAAAACAGCACGAAGAACCTTAGGTACCCTCCCCAAACCGATCTCGATCTTATACCTCGATCCGACTGCACAAAGAAATCTCAAGCGAGAGAGCGCTTCCGTCATCAATAGCAAAGGACAGTGCTGAGTAAATCGCCTAGAGGTCCTAAGCGAGAGCATGGAGTACTGAGTGTCGACGGCGCGGCGTTTCGAGCGGGAACGTGATTCAATAAACTGTACAGGTGAACTATTAAGCGGGGGCAGCCGTTATTGTAGACTAGAGGCAAGGGGCGCAATCTGAGGCGCAAGACTCCCTCTTGTCAAATACAAGGTGCGGGCCCCGGGAGGGGCACTTCAATTTCAGAAAATACCATGGGCACCTGATTCCTGATCAACAGCAATATCCCTTAAAAGTGAAGTTCAGCAATCATATTCAGACTGTTCGCTCTGATATGCTCGTGAATCAACCAAGATGTCTGTCCCGAGCCCTGACTGCCCGCCCTGTTCATCTTTGATCAGATCCTCTTTGGGGTGGTATCGTCCTTCCCTGCCACGTGTATTTGGCCAAGTCCCCAAAACGAGAAGAACAGAAACATTGTACGAGGGAGAGGGCGAGGAGGATGGGAGTGGGGGGAGGGCAGGAGAAAAGAAGGGGGCAACCGGGAAGGAGAGATGGAGGACGAGAGGGGTTAAAAAGAGGGCACAGCAATAGGGGATGACAATGAAGTCTCAGGCGAGAGCGCGGTTCCAGAGTAAATCATGAGTAACTCCCGAGCGAGGGCGCGATTCCAGAGCGCCGAGAGACTCGTAGAAAAATTGAAGGGGTGCCGCGAGAGAGCGCGAATGTTAAATAAATGCGCATGACGGTTTCAAGCGGAAGCGCGATTCGCCAATCAAATGTGAAGACATATCAGGCGGGAGCCATTCTTGTTGTAAACCAGAGGCCATGGGCACATATTGAGGAGCAAAAGTTGCCCTGCTAAGAAACAAGGTGCGAGCCTCGGGAAGGGGGACTTCAACTGCGAGAAAAAACATGGGCACCAGAGGGGTGATCAACGTGAATTATCCTTAGAAATGAAAATTGAGCCATCATATTGAGTCTGTTCAGTTTTCATCTGCTAGCGTGTTATCCAACATATATCCCGAACCCTCGATACCCGACCTCTTCGTCTTTGATCGTGCCCCCCCTATCTTCCGTACCTGACACGTGTAACAAGCTGGCGCAGCCTCTACAATGAAAGAAGTGAGGGAGAAGAGAAGGGACAAGGGGGAGGGAGAAGGATGCGGCACCAGAGAGATTAGCAAGGGAGGGGCAAGTTAGGAACAGGAAAGCAAACGGCAGGACCAAACGGGCGGGTCGCGCGGGCGGACCCTAACGAGCAGGTCGGGCGGGCTGGCTCAGGCGGCCAGGTCGAGCGGTAGCGAGATTCCCGTGCAAATTCTGGGAAGGCCAGAGCGACAGCGTGATTCCTGAGTGTCGAGGGCTCGCCTTGTGAATAATTACGAGAAGGTCACGCGGAGGAGCGCGATTCCTATGTGAATCGTACGGAAGTCCCGCGCGGGTGTCCCGCGCGAAAGCGCGATTATGAATGAATTGTGAGGGGGTATCAGGCTGGAGCCGTTGTTGTAAACCCAGAGCCAGCGTCGAAGTCTGAGGCGCAAGACTCGACCTTGTAAAATACCAGGTGCGAGCCACGGGAGCGGCACTTCAAATGCAAAACACAATGGGCACCGGAGGTAGGATCAGCCATAGGAACCTTTTTCATCCATAAGCATCATCATAATCATCATCAGCATTAATGCACCATCATCAACAGCATCATCAGCATTAATCCACCATCATCAGCAGCATCGTCATCACCACCACGACCGCCAGCACGACAACCACCACCAACACCATCATCATCAACAGACTCATCAGCATCATCAGCATCAGCAGCATCAGCATCAGCATCATTACCATCATCATCATCATCCTCATCATGATCATCATCATCATCAACGTCATCATCATCCGCATCATCCGCAGCAGCACCAGCACCAGCATCAACGTGAGCACCTGTAAATCAATGTTTAGATTCATCCACACCCTCATGATCACCCATCATCATCATAACCGTCATCATTAACACACCATCATCATCAGCATCATCATCACCATCGTCATCATCATTAGCATCATCGTCACCACCACGACCACCACCACGACCACCACCACCATCATCAGCAGCAGACACATCAGCAGCATCATCAGCATCGTCATCAGCATCACTCTCATCATCATCATCAGCGTCATCATCATCCTCATCATCAGCAACAGCACCAGCACCAGCATTAACGTGAGCACCTGCAAATCAATGTTTATATTCATCATAACCATCATGATCCTCATCCTCCTCCTCATCATCACCATCATCATTATCATCGTCATCATCATCATCTAGGCCACCATCATGATCATCATCAGCAACAGCACCAACCACCACAACCACAACCACAACAACATCAACAGCTACAACAACCATAGCAACCGCAGCAGCAACAACATCAGCAGCATAACCATAAGCAGGAACAACAACAACAACAACCACAACACTGAAAACAACCACCACAACACCAACAACACCAATCATACCAGCACCGAGCAACCAACCAACCAACCAACCAACCAACCATAACAACACCAGTGCCAACAACATTTGCAACAACAACAGCAGCAACACCGTCATCATCACCACAATCATACCATCATCCTCACCACCATTATCAGCACATCCACCATGGCACACACACACACCAACATCATCGTCAATATCGTGCTAAGTACATCCTCCTCCTCCTGCTCCCTCTCCAACCTCCTCCACCCCTCCTCATTCCCTTTCCCTCCACTGGCCATGCGATCGAGTTAAGAAAACAAACTCCCTCGTCCTCCTCGCTCTCCTCATTCTCCTATTTCTCCGTCCCCTATGGCCTCCTCCTGCTCCGCCCCTGGAAGCCTCCTAAACGGAGCTGATGCATCAGCGGCGTTGGAATGATGAGAATCAGGCTCTGGGTCGCGCCAGGTCACCGATGAATCGGCGATGCGGCGAGATCCTGAGACAATCTCCACCCCCACCAGGAAAACCTCAGCCCCCCCTGGCCGACCTGCCCCTCCTAGGTGAGGATGGGTGCCTACTCCTTCTGGTCTTCGCCGCACCCATCCCCACCTAGCAGGGGGCAAAACTGGAAGAGCCACCTGAACCTGTTCCACTCGGGGTTGGGAAGGCTCTGACTTTGATGACCGTCCACTCCAGCCCCATTTGAGAGGCAACTGGAGGCGATGACCCGGGCGACGCTCGGGCCTCTCCCGCGAGGCCTGCTTCCGCTCGCGTTTCTCCTCCGGTGCGGCAGGCGTGACCATGGCAGTTCTCCTCCTCTTCGTCCCCCCCGCCCCCCGAGGGGCAATCGGGATGATGAGAGAAAGCAGCAGGAAGTGTCGCGGCAGCCAGAGCCGCGGCAGCAAGAGCTGAGGAGAACCGCAACAGCAAGAGCCGCAGCAGCAGCCGGAGGGAAAAGAGGAGCTGGATGGAGACCAGGAGGCCCCCTGGCCTGTCCGCTGCTAAAACTCCCCGCCCTGCTGCTCTCGATATTGCTCCCTCGCCCCCCTCCGGATCAACCTTCTCATCCTTCCTCCCTCCCCGCCTTATCTGTGTCCTCGCTCTCTCTGGGCTTTCTCCTCTTCGTCCTCCTTTATCAGGGAGCACTGGCAAGAGAACCTTGGAGTCGTGTTGTCCTCATACTCCTGCTCCTGCTCCTGCTCCTCGAGCCACTCTTCCTCATCACCAACATCATCCCCCTCACTTCCTCAGATCAACGCGCTGGGCTAATCCTTGCCAGCGGCCCCACCGACGGTCAGCGAAGAAGCCGCACATAACAGCAGCTGACACAGACAAAAAATGTGGCGCAACTGGCATAGCCGTTTTCGCGTCACGGCGACCGATACGTATTTATACAACAGAAGTGAGAGAGAGGGAGAGAGAGAGAGAGAGAGAGAGAGAAAAAAAAAAAGATAAAGAGAAAGAGAACACAATAGGGACAGAGAGAGAGAGGCGAGAGAGTGAAAGAGAGAAAGAGAGAGATAATGCGCTCATTCGTAAGACCGACATGACTCGGGATGTGCATGGGCCCCTGTCCGCGACGCATAGACGAGGGATGGGGGGGCGCGGAACATCGGAAAAGGGTGACAAGCAAAAGCCGGGACGGGGCCCTACCGATTCAACTATCGGCTGAGTAAGCAGTCCCCACCTACACAGGCTCCACGACGAAATGAGCGGACGGCGGAAATGGCAACGTAGCGAGCAGTTCAAACTCGAGTGCCTCTCCCGCTCGCCCTGCCTCTCGTCCTCCCCGCCACACTACCCTCGCCGTCGCACTCCATACTGCCTGCTCTCCCTGCCCTTCTTTCTCCTCCATCCCGCCTCCTCCCTTCTCCATTCATCCAGTTTTCCTCACCTTCCCCCCCCCTCTCCCCCTTGCCCTGCCTCTTCTTCCTCCCCATCTTCATTCCCTGGGTCGTCCTCCCCATCGCCTTCCTGTCACACGCCTCTCCGCCCCTTCCGTGCCTCTTCCTCCTCTCCTCCGCTCGCCATCGCGTCCCCATTCCCCTCCCCCTCATTCCTCTCCCCTTCCCCCTAGCCATCGCCTTCTTCATCCCCCTCCCCTTTCCCTTCCCCTCGACATCGCGTTCCTTTCCTTCCCAAACCCGATCCCCTCGCATGCCCCCTCCCCCCGTCCGTGTCAATATCATCGCCCTCCTCCTCACCCCTGTCCCCTCCCCCACCCGCCTCCCTCCTCACTATATCAAGCTCCTCTCGCATTCGCCATTCATCCTCCCCCTCCCCTCCCCTCATCCCCTCCAGATCCAGACCCTCGGCACCACTTCCCCCTCCCCCCCCCGCCCACCCCCCCACCTCCACCCCCAACCACCACCACGCGCCACCCCCGCCCTCCACCTCTCCTCCCCGCCACCTCGCTCCGATTCCCCCCCCCCCCGCCCCTCACTTCTCCCACTCTCGGGGGCTGCCCAATGTGCTTTGGGATCAAGAGGTGCCCCCAGCTCTTCGCGCAACCACGGAGCCTCTGTGGGGCCCTCTGGGCCTCGAAACGCATCTGGCATCACCCGACACGCCAAAACGTCCCCCCGCTTTGGGACCCAGGAGATCTTGACCCCTCCACTCGGGCCAGCCTGTCAACCACCCTCGACGGTCCCGAACCCAGGTCGGGAAACGGCCTCCAGATGCCAACACACATCGAACAAGCTGGCCGTGGCGACTTGACCATGCGACGCCCAGATCAGAAGGCTACTTCCTGCCGCCCCCACCCCTGGTCGGCTCTGACAGTCCACCCCCCCGCGGCGGTAGCCTCGGCGTGACGACCTGCGGCAGGCAAGAAGCGAAGGGAGGAAGGTAGGGAGGGAGGGAACGCTACTTCTCTCCCCCCTCATCCTTAAACCCCTCCCCCTCCTCCTCCTACTCCTCCTCCTCCTCCTCCTCCTCCTCCTTCTCCTCAGCATCACCATCATCGTCAGCATCGACATCCTCAGCATCCTTCTATGGTATCCTGCTACTGCTACTCCTATTACTTCTTCGTTTCGCCCTCGTGTGCAGGCTCTAGCTCATGCTCCTGGACGCCTGCGTATAATCATCCTTCTCCTCCTCCTCCTCCTCATCATCATCATCACCATCAGCATCAGCATCATCATCATCACCATCAGCAACATCAACATCATCATCATCATCATCCGCCTCGCCACCCTCATCTTTCCCATCGTCGCCAACATCACCACACATAACACCACCACCATCATCACACTTGCACAAATTATCACAACTCTCCTCCTCCATATCAACATCATCAGCATGAGCATCACACTCACCGACACCACCATGATCTTAATCACCAGCATCAACATCCGCATCAGCATGGGCGTTCTCATCATCACCAGCACCATCATCGTCACAATCGTCATACTCATAACCATCGACATCAACATCACCATCATCATCATCACCATCATCATGAGCCTCGTCATCATCATCGTCATCATCAGCATCAGCATCAGCATCATCAATATCAGCATCAACATCATCATCATCATCATCCCCGCCATCATCATCATCATCATCATCATCATCATCAGCATCATCATCATCATCAGCATCATCATCATCAGCATCATCACAGCATTATCATCACCAGCAGCTTATCACCATCATCATCACCAAAAGCATCCCTATCACCATCGCCATTACCACCAAACACAACAGCATCATCAGCATCATCATCGTCATCAGCATCATCGTCATCATCGTCATCGTTAGCATCCGCATCATCGTTGTCCTCGTCATCGTCAAGATGTTCATCATCATCATAATAAGCATCATCATCACCACCATCACCATCATCAGCATCCGTATGCCCTATATCGAACCATCGCAACAACTCGTCATCTCATCGCCATTGCCACTGACAATCGGCTACGTCAACATGCGTGGGACAGTGTTCAGAAGGCAGACTCCTCTGGTTACATGTGCCCACATGCTTATACACACAGAAATGCAATCACCACTCGCACGCGTGTGCATGTGCAAATGTACATAATATGCTGATGGCTCCCGTGTGCCAAGGGTGAGCAAGCGTAAGAAACATTTGGCTGTCCCCGTCCCCCTTGTCCTTCCAGTGGGTCCAAAATCCCGTTAGCGGGGGGAGGGACATGGGGGAGGGGCACGAGGTCCTCGGCGCACCTTCCTGGCCGTCGGAGCCTCCAAATCCACCCACCGCGGCCTCTGAGATGCCCCAGATGCCCTCTCGCATGCCTCGAGAAGGGCTCCGACAAGCTGAGGAGGCCACCAACATATCCCGGATGGCCGCAGGACCGCCCAGGAGGCCTGGAAGACGCCCACAGAGGGCCACGAGGCCCCACAGGACGGCATTAAGATGCGCAGCAAACGGTTTGAACATAGGCGTTCGAATGAGCTTCGCGTTCTCGCCATGCCGGTCCTAAACTGCGAGACGGCCCGAGAAGCCCCCACATTGGCCCAACTCGGCCAAAGAGGCCCCCAAAAGGCCTGGACATGGCCCAAAAAGACCCTTACGATTGCCCAAAACGCCACCAATACGGCCAAAACAGGCATTCAAGAGGGCCACAAGAAGAGCCAGAAAGGCCAACTCGTAGGGGCCACAAGGGCCTTCCCCCACAAGATGGCCCCTAAAACGCCCCACATGCCCACAAGAAGACCTCTGAGAACCCCCAGAAGCGCCCAGAAGCCTTGAAAAACTTCCAAGAGACCGCCTCCGAGACTTCCAAGGGGCCCCAAACAGGCCCCGCAACAGACGCGGAGGAAGATGAGCCAAGCCAGAAACAACTACACGCAGGCAGCACAACGGTGCGCAGCAAACAACATGTTGCGGAATCGGAAGCCGCGTATCTCCTCATGGGGGATTGAGCAGAATGGCATAAGCCACTTGAATACATGGAGGGGAAGCAAGAGAGGCAGAATGAGAGGGACGGAGAAGGTAACGACACAAAAAAAGAGATGGTGCGTTCCCCGGTCGAGCTCTCCCAAAGATCCACCCCATGCAACTACTTCACGTTCTCCCCACATGGCGTTCTTGCCGAGCCTTGGGGATATTACGAGAGCGTCCGCGAGGACACCTGGACTTTGGCACAAAGACCCGACCTGGAACGGCGGCTCCAGCTCCCCCAGGAGGAATTTGATGAGGCGCAGCGGCCAAAGACGCCTCGAGGCCCCAAAACCACCCAAGAAACCGCAACGATGTCCAAAAATCGTCGAAACGCCGACGGACCACGCAGAGCGGCCGCGCGGCCGCGAGGCCTGTCTTGCCCTGCTTCTTCTTCTCCACCAGCAGCCGCCGTACTGCACCCCTGCCCCCCCCAGCTGTTCACGCCCCTCCTGACTGCAGACCCCAGGGCCTCCTACTGACCATGCCGCCACTCCCCACCAGGGACGCCTCAGCCCTGCAGCTACCCCGCGCGTGCTCCACGCGGGGCAGCAACGGCATCATCCAAAAAGACCTCTCTCCACACGTGTGTCGCTATGGCCTGAGTATATCCGCAACCATGCCACGAGGCACTGAGCGCACGGCAAGCGAATGCCACTAAAAGGCCTCAAATGCTCGAGTCAGGATGCCCCCGCCCGGAAGTTGGATCGAGGTCCACGCTTCCCACATGCCCGAAGACAGTCCTAAGCGACCGTCCTGGGACACTATTGGGATCATGCTGGGTCGTCTTGGAGGCCCCCAGGAGCGTCTCAGAAGGCAGAAATGAGTGAGCATCCAAACACCGTGCTATATATTCCCCGACCTCCTGAAACAACAACAACCGTTATTTCAATGTAGTGACGGAATGTGTGGTGCGAGTGAAGCATTCTCTGATGTTCTGTCTTCAGAGCGCCTCGCAAGGTCTGGGAGAACTCCTCGGATCGCCCGAAGATGAAACTCGAAGGGGCCCTAGGAAACAGCCAGCAGGCCCCGAGGCGGCCCAAAGGGCTCCCAGGCGGCCCTGAGGGAGGTATCAAGAGGCCCCAAAATGCTCCCCGAGAGACATTGTAGGAGGCCTCTGGTCCATAACCAGGCACGGTGGCGGGATTGGCCGAAGGCGGGAGCTATCGTCTAAGTTGCTGAAGCCGCTGACTGATAGGTTGATGTCGCCCTCGCCAAACACAGTGCAGCCGTCATATTGTAATCACATGGTCCCCGTCTCATGCAATATATGCCGCGCGCTCCTGATTGATCCGAACCGCTCTTAGCGAATCGCGTGGCAGACTTGAGGGCCCTGCTCAAGTCCGACCAGCCCTCTGGGCGTAGGTGGTTGAACGAGATGTGGCCTCCTTCGTTCCACAACCCCTCCTTCCCCCTGTTCGGAGGAGGGGCTTGCCCCCCCCTACCCCCTTTTCCTGGGCCTGGGAGGGTGGGGGTGGGGCGCGAGGGACTAGAGCGCCCAAGATAACCGAAGATAGCCCAAAATGGTTCCAAGAGGGCATCAAAGAGCCCCAACAGCCCCCACAGATGGCTCAAGATAGCTGAGCAGATGGCTCAATACAGTCTCCAACTACACCGAAGACGTCCCAAGACGATCCCAAGATGGTTTCACATGCCCTCCGGGACCTCCGGGCCCTCCCAGGACCCCCCCCCCCAACAGGCCAAAATGGTCCCCAAAACCTGAGAAAAACAATGAGTCTGGCGTTTTCGTTTTTTCGTTTTTGATGGGCTTCCGATACTGAAGGATGGCCCCAAGACGGCCCAAGAAAACCCCCAAAAGGGCCCAAGACGGCCCCCCAAACGCCCAATAACACCCCAAGGGCGCTCCAAGAAGGCCCTCAGAGGCAAGTCGTGAGCCTCCGATGGGGAGGGGGACTGACTTGAATACCCCCCTCCTTTTGAGCTACGGGGGGCAAGGCGGCCCCAAAAGACATCTCAGACGAACCGCCCAACGGGCCCAAAGAGGGCCCCATCGTGGCCCCAGAAGAGCTCCAAGAGGGCCCCAATGAGGGCCCCACGAGGACCTCAAAAGAACCCCAGTTTGGCTCCAGAAGACCTCCAACAACCTCTCACAACAACGCTTCAGCTCGCCTGAAACAACTATTTCTGAATAGGCTGGTGGGGTTAGTTTTGGTCAACAAGCTCGCGAGGCGGGTCGAAAGCCGTCGAACCCTAGTCGCGAGGCCGCGACTATGCAGCAGGAGAAGAAAGGCAAGCGAATCGAGCGAGCGGGTAGCCACTCAGAAGGAGAGCCAGAACCGATACTACCAAACCCGGTTGCGTTGGAAATACCGGTGGCGACCAGCAAATAAATGCAACCGAAATGGCGCGGCGGCGCGACCATAAACACGCAGAGGTCGATCGCTCGGTGTGAGTCGGGCAAACAGCACCGTCAGAGACGAACTAGACCGAAAACACACCCAAACGACATCCGTGAAGTAGGCGACACAAATGCCAAACTTGTGGGGTTACACGAAGAGACAAACATGGGGGCAGCGTGTAGCCATTTCGCAACGCACTCGCCAGCTCAGTCCGTGCGCACGTCGCCTCGTTCCCAATGTCGCCACGTGCGTTTGGGCTGGCAAAAGCACTACTGCCGCAACGGCCTCCAAAACAGAAAAACGCGATGTCGGCGTGGACGCCCGTCGCGGGAGGGCGGCCCGAGAGGGGAGGGGTAGCTGGGGGACGAGACAAGACAGAACAATAACGAACGCAATCCATTGCAGCGCCTCAAGGCGGAATTCACAGCCGCAGTGTAAAACCTGATAGATCCTGGGGGAAAAAAGCGATAGGAAAAACGGGGAAGAAACTTCAACGCATGCCTTTGCATACAAAATAAACGGCAAGATAATCGCAGCGCAAGAGAGAGAGAGAGAGAGAGAGAGAGAGAGACCCTCACTGAATTAAAGATCATGTGCTGCGCTCTGTACGCTGGCCAGGCATGTTTCCAAAAAGCGGTGGCATCATCTGGGAACTCGCGTCACTGTCGAGCCTTTGTCTGCAGTGCCCTCGCGCTGCCCATAGCAGTCCGGGCCCTCTGCGAGCACCTTCTCGGCGGCGTCCTGGCCCCAGAAGAATTTGATCCTCACCCAGAGAGACCCACAAGAACGAAGAGATGAAAAACCGCTCATGACGGCGCTGCCTTTGCAGCCAAGTGTGAGCGACCACGCTCCACCGGCCAGCAGCCCCGAGAGCACCATGCTGACGAAACGCGTGAAGAGCGAGCCGACCTCGGCAACGTTGAGAACGGTATGCTTGTAGAGCACGTTATAGCAGTGCCAAAAGCCGAAGGCGCCAACGAAGAGGATGCAGAGGTGGAGCTGCTGCAAGGGCAGTAGCTCGTTGGCAACGCCGTTACGACGCAGGCGATCAGCATTGTCTTCCCGAGGCGCTCCGATTCCCACCAATGGAGCCCCGCCTGGTATGATCCCGTCCTGGCGCAGCAACATCAGCCAATAGACTGGCCCGGCAGCGAACCGCGACAGCAAGCACACGGTCACTTGTCATCAGATACAGCGTGCTTTCGCGGCGCTCCTAATGGGGCGGCGATTTCCCCCCCTCAAGGGGGTGTCGCACAATTTTCCTGCATCGCCCGCCCCCCGACTTCTCCAACGGCACCCTCGCGCAAACAATTGTCATGCCGCGGAGTCTTCTGATAAACCCCCCTTGGCCCCGCGACTAGAACCCTCTTTGCGAGGTCAACCGTGCCCCGCGCGCGCCGCCAACGCCGCCTGTCCGAACCCGAACGCCACCGCGCCCCTGCGGTTAAGCTCTCGTGCAAGCCGCGAGCTTGAGAGGACAATTTTCGGGGGCGATCGGTCGCGATGTTTCTGCTCCACCCCCTCATCCGGACGAGGACAACCCAATGGATCGCGAAGCCGACCTGCGGGCCCAGAGCAAGGTGACCAAAAATATCACATGCGGGCCACAGGGCTGGGGCGAGAACCACCACCGACTGACCTGGATCAGGGGGACCGTCACTATCACCCAAGGGAGAGAAGACACTTGTCGGACCAATTCGGTTGGCAACTCAAGATAGCCTGGCCAAGATGAGGCGTCGATAGGCAGCGCCAGAGCTGACCCACTCACCTGCCAGGAGCGTGGGCCGACTTCACCGCACCTGAGGAAAGAGCAGAGGTGGGCCGAAGGCCGGCCGCATTTCAGTGGCCGGGCGCCCCGCCTGCAGCTAGCCGGGCGCAGCTAGGTGGCTGGGCGCCTCGCCCCAGCTGGGCCGAAAAGTCGTCCACAGCTAGGTGGCCGGAGGCCCCTTTTCGGCCAAACCCCGAAAGCCTGAACAGGATGGCGCACAGACGCGGCCGCCTGCCAGCGGTCCGCCGCGGGCCCCAAGACGGCCCAATGAGGTTCCAAGAAGGCCCGAAAGGTGTCCCCAAGACGGCCCGAAATGTGTCCACTAGGACCTCAACTCGGCCCTTGGGGGCCCTCGGGCGGCCGTCAATGCCCCCAAGGAAGCTTCCAAACGACCCAAAGAGGCCCCCGAGGTGGACTCCGAAAGCGACAGAGGGCCCAAGAGCGCCCTCAGACGGACACAAGGCAGCCCCAGAGGCAACCCGCGGACGCTGCCAATATGCCCCAAGAATCCCCGAAGAAGGCCCAGAGAGGACCCCGGGGCTTTCCAATCATGTCGAACGCCATGTCGACCTGCGCAAAGATGGCGCCACAGGGCCCCTCCCCCCGTGGCCGCACCCCCCCCCTGTTCTCTCCCAGGGGGTAGCCCGCGCCGCCGGTAACGCCATTGGGGCATGTCGCTAGGGGCTGCTCCAAACTAAATGGAGGGCCCTGGGCGAGCCCAACAGTGCCCTTGAGAGCTCCAACAGGGCCCGTGAGGCCCTGAGACAAGCCCTGGGGGGGACCAAGACGCCCCGCCCACCCGCCCCCCGCGGAAGAGCATCTGAGACGGCCGCGTCAGATGTTCCACCGCGGGGGCACCAAGAGGGCGCTCCAAGGGCCCCAAAAGGGCTGCAGGAGGGCCCGAGAGGGCCAGGCGGGGCCCAAGACATGTCCTGAGGATCTCAGGAAGCCCAAAGCGCCCCACCACGGTAGAGCATCTGAAACGTCCGTTTCAGATGCTCTGCAGCGGCGGGCCCGACAGGGCGCCAGGAGGGCCCCAAGATGACTCCAGGAGGGCCCGAGAGGGTTCCCACGAGGGCCCTAAGATGGCCCGAAGAAGCGCCCAAGAGGCCCCGAGAGACCCCTACGATGCCACCAGGAAGCCCCGAGGAAGCTCCCAAGCGGCTCCAACCAAGAAGCACCAAGGGGCCTCCGACAAGCGCCCAAGAAGATACCTGACGACACTCCGAGAGGCATCGAAGCGGCCTCTGGCCCCTCCACTCGCCCTCCTCATCCTCCCCTCCGCCCCCTCGTCCGCCTAGTCGCCCTCCAACTCCGTCCACCCTCACATGTCCTCATCCTCTCTTTGCTCCTACATGCCCCTGCTCACCTCGACTGGACTGGGCATCGTCTCTGGATGTGCTAGTGGGAAAATGCGAAACGTCAAACATTTGTTTACACTCAATTCCACCGGCCACAATAAAGGCCATTCTGCGCATGGACGGTGGTGTTTCTAGATGAGCACAACACAATTGGCCCTGACCCTAGATCCAACGGCCCGACTCTATTTCAAACCAAAACTCACGCGGCCAAGTTTCCACAAGAAACGCGCCTTAAAGACAGTACCTCGGGCACGGCGCTTGACCACGGATTTGCGCGCGACGCCCCCGACGCCCCGGATTGCACCCCCGGAGCAGGAAAAAACAGCTCCCGACCTATCGAAACCTTTGAAGCAACATGCACCGACTAGGTCCTCGCAGATTTTGTTCGGTCGGCGCAGGACCACCCGTTCCCCAGCGAAGCTGCGCAGAAGGGTCAAGCGCAGACCCAAACAGGGTCCTGCGAAATATGTGTGCTGTTCTCTGTTATCACACCTCCATGTCGGCATCGTAGACCGAGAACTGTATAGGACCCTTCCTGTCGACGGCCACTTGCGTATGCTCTTTTCCACGACATGCACCGCGCCATTGACACCATGGCGTGAAAACGGAGGACAGGCAGGGATGAGCACACGAGACATCCTAAGGTCCTAAACGGCGAACGCACCGATGGATGAAGGACAACGGGCAAGAACTCATACACAGCAGTGCCAAGCAATTCAAAGCAATGCAGCGCAATGAAACGTAATGCAAAACAATGCAAGCAAGGCAAAGCTATGCAAAACAATGCAATGCGCTGTGATACGAAACCATGCAAAGCAGTGCAAGTTAAGGCAACGCAGTGCAAAGCAATGCACAGCAAAGCAATGCAACGCTGTGCAAAGCAAGGCGAAGCGATGCACAGCACAAAATACGATGCAAAGCAACGCAAACCAATCCAAAGCATTGCAAAGCAATGCGCAGCAATGCAACGCAACGCTCGTCCGTGCAAAACAATGCAAAGCAATGCAAGACAATGCAAAGCAATGTCCGTTCTGAGAAATAGCACAATGCGGGCCACGCACGAGCGCACCACCCCGCGCGCATGTCGAAAGCGGTGCGAAAGCAAGGCAATATGATAAGATCGATGCACAAATACTAGAACCACACGCGCTTCGCGCGCGCTTCGGTCCCAGCGCAGCCCAAGCCAACCTCACAGGATCGGATGATGCTGGACATCATCCCCCAAGGATCATCATATCGGAGCGTCAATCCTGATGGACGCTTCAGGAGTTGCTGCACGAGCAGCCCCAAGGAGCTCCTGCTGCCCCGGGCAGATACACCGAACAGCTGCCCGAAGGTATATTTGGGAGGCTTCGGGGGGCTCGTGGCCTGTGGGCCGTCGTCATCGGTCTTGAGGATCTCATGACAGTCTGGAGATACCCTCGAACTATCTCGCAGGTACCTTCGGAAGTCCCTTGGGAACCCTGGGGGGCAATGAGATGGGGCAATTCAAATCATCTAAGGGCTGCCAGGGTCCGTGGAAGCCGTCTTGGGCGCGGCCTTCAGGACCCCTTAGGCCGTATTGTGCCTTGCTGGGAAGCGCTAAGATGTCGCACGACACACGGCACAAGACTGATGGCGCGGCTCACTCTTCTCATGGAGGCGATAGCCAGCATGACTTCGCAGCACAGGTACGCGTGCAGGGCGAATCCCCCAGCTATTGCAATCGCCAACGCAGGCTCCAGGAAGGCGCGCGAGACAGCCACGAGGAGGACCCAGGGCAGTCTGGGGGGGGATGCCCGAGAGTTTTGAGCCTGGCAAAACCATGCTGGGAGTCGTTTCGGATGCCTTTGGGGTGACGCTCTTGGAAGGTTCTTGGGGGCTTCTGGGGGAGGGGGGGGGGGCTCTTGGGGTTTCTTGGGGGTCTCCTGGTGGCCTTTTGGGGTTTCTTGGCGGCGCCTCGGGGGCCTCCCCGGGGCTCTTGGAGTCTGGACTCGAAATGTCCGTTTGGATCGCCGTTCTTGCCCATGTCTTGGGGCCATCTTGAAGGCCCACTGGGCCGACTTGTCGGCCTCTTGGGCCGTCTTGGAAATCTCTTGGGTCGTTGTCGGGCCGCTTCGGCTCCTCGTGGACTGTCCTCACGCAATAAAGGGCCGAAACAGCGATAGCGCTAATACTTTCCAAAACCAACCGAACATATAGGCTTTCGGCATCCTGGAGCCCTATTGGAGATCCCCATGGTGCCCTTCTCAAGTGTTTAGGAACCATCTTGGGCCTACTTGAAGCGATATTGGGCTTCTTCGAGCGTTGTTGTACCGTCGCGGGGCCATCTTGGTTCGTCTTGAGGGCCTCTTGGGCCTCTCGTGCCCGTCTTGAGACTCTCTCTGGGCGCTCTCGGAAGCTCCCAAGGCGGGGAGCCCGCACACGTAGAAGGGAGGCAATTCGATGGAGCCCTGCTCGAAAGTTCGGAGATATTCCCCCGTACCGTGAAAGTATTGACAAAAGCAATGTTGTTTACATCACGTTTGTTTAAACGTAAGCGCTTGGGAAGGATGTTCGAGGCACTTGTTGGAGCCTCTTGGGGGGGCATCTCGGAGGCATCTTGAAGGCCTCCCGGGGGCATATTGAAGGCACTTTTGGGGCCTCTTGGGAGCTTCCAGGGAGCTTCTCGGGTGGCTTCTGGGCGCCTCTTGAGGCCTTTTGAGGCCTCTGGGGAGCCTCTGGGGGCCTTCTGGGGCGAATGTTATAAAATTGAACTTGGTGTTCCCCCTCTGGGACCCCTCTTGGGCCTGTTCTGGGGCTCCCTTGGGCCACTTGGGGGGCCTCCTGGGCCGTCTTGGACCAGTCTTGGGTCGTCCTGGAGCTCTCCCGGGGGCCTCCTGGGCCGTCTTGGGTGCCTCTTGGGCCGTGCTGGAAGCCGTGAAAGCTCAAGAGGCAAATCTGCGAAAAGTAGACGGTTCATACAGAAATGGGACGGCGTTTGCTTCTTGAGGCCCTCTTGGGGGTCCTTTTATTCATGCTTGTTTCCAGAACTCTCCAAATTGCGCCAGAAAGCGTCGGAAGCAAGAAAACGTTGACGAATTCGCGAGCATGCCGCCTCCCGCACGCTGCCGCGAGTCAAAACGAAGGAGAAAAGAGAAGCAGGAGAAGCAGGAGAAGAGAGCGAGGAGGAAGCGGGGGACGACGATGAGAAGGCTGAAATTAGCTAACCTAGAAAATGGAGCGAAGCTTATAGCGACTCTGGCCAAACGAAACTTCAAACTCAAATTGATGCGGGGAAGGGCCCAAAGATCCCGTGGGCCTGTAGAACGTTGGTCTCCCGATTGCGTTCCGAGCGGCGCCAGAGCACCGCTGTCCTCCGATCCTAGAGTCCATCAGAGCAGCTACCTTATACATATCCAGGGCTGCGGGGACGTCGGCGAGCGAAGAAAACTCTCGCCATGAAGGACATGGTTGCGTGAAGGGAAAAATCGCGAGGATGTAAGGCGGGAAGTAGAACATGAACCCTGCCTCGAGCAAGTAAACTTAAACCAAACTATAACCCTGATCTCGAATGGCTTGACTCGAAATGGCTTGAGCCAAAATAGCTACGGAACCTCTTGGGGGGCCTCTTGGGGCGTTTCGGGGCGCCTTGGGGCTGTCGCAGTGTCATCTGGGAGTGTCTTGGAACTCTCGTGGAGCGCGTTGGGGGGCCTCGAAGGCTTGTCGAAGTCCAGCTTAGGCAGTCTTGGAAGACCCTCGGGTTTTCTGGACCCCCCGGGGGTCGCTCGGGTAGATCTCCGGGGAGAGGGGGCACCGAAATACAAGGGCGGTCCCAGCCCCCGAGCCCTAGGCCGGGATCTCCCACATGTCTACACGCGCAGTCCAATACAACTGCAACCACCATCGTTAACTACAATCGGTCCG